CCCGCGGGCCGTCCCATGACAGCGATGCCGTGGCACACTGTGGCATGTTTCCCTCCGACACCGGCACTGTGCGGCCGATCGGGAGCTGCTTACTTATACGATGGCTTTTCTGCTGGCGCCTGCTGCTAAATAAACACGGCGTGTTTGTCTTGGACAGGCCTCCTGCCCACCCCAGAGGTGACCAGCGCGATGGGGTTGGGAGACAAAAAGGCCATCGCTCTGTTGTCTCTTTTTTTTCCACTCCTCTGCGTTCGTAACAGCGTCATCGCTGGAGCCGGGGTGATGCTCCTGTAAGCGAGTCTCTGGCAGTCGGTGCCAGTTCTCTAAAGTCCAGACAGATTCATCAGTACAGATCGTTATTTGTCAATTGAGTAACAGCTCCTACACCACCAGCTGAGCACGTGCCCTAGCCCTGGGGCTCAGCTTTGCGTTAAACTTGAAGTGTTCTGGCAACTTTTGCTTGCACCACATCGAACAGTAACAAAATAAAGCCTGTACGCAACGTTGCGGGGCCTTCATAACAACTGTGCTGCAGAAACACATGCTATTATGAGGCATTTAATCATTTAAGTACATACTGTTCAATCCTTTTCACAGAAGTTCAACATCAACGCAGGAAAACGTATTTCATTGGAACAGCAGAAGTCAGAGGTTCAATTCAGAATGGTGGCTTCTCTGTTAAATTCATGTAAGAACAAAAGCTCTTCTGCTTATAGCTGTCTACCAGAATATAAATTAAAGTTTGTTAATGGATTTGTATTAGATTATTATTTTCTATAGCCGATTCCTTCTAGACTTCTTCAGACAAGAAGCTTCCATTATTTTCATTCATGATGGAAGTATGTGACCAAAACTGCTTCAATCCATACCAAAGTAATACAATGCATCTTATCAAGTACCTATTTCTATGCAAGTACATCATACGCAGGAATGTGTGATGGCACTGTGGTTAGTCTTCATTAGAACATGCCCATCACATGCAAAGCTTTGTGATTCCACACATAAGAGTATCACATTGGCTATCAAAGTTAATTTTAATGAGTAATTAAGCCAGGGAAGTTGCAGGGCCTGTTCCTGCCCAGGAGGTGCGGACCCTGCTGCTGTGCGTAGCCTGGCTCACCAGCACTGGCTACATGCATGTGAACACGGACACAGCTCCCACTGCTCCACGTCCCGTGAGCTGCTCTAACAGTCCAAATCCTCTCACCGTTAACGTGTGCATCTCCTCCTTGGCAGACACGCATCCCCTTCGCAGCTTCACGCACTAATACCTAGGTGCCACATGGCCTGGCCTGACACCCCGAAGCAGGTGCCTCTTAACTGCCCCATACTAACTCTGTTCAGCCTCCCACCACCTTTGAGTCTGTCCAACATCATCACCTATAATCACAGGAGCGAAGCAGTAACATCGCCCAAGAAGCCCAGCTTTACACCAAAAAACCTCCTTGTTCCAAGTGTAGATGTTTGGCTCACGGGCTGTCACAACCCAGCAGAATACCGCAAACGATGTCCCAGCTTCCCACTGCTGAGTGGAGAGGTCAGTCCTTTGCTGCCAAACAAGGTCCACTGATACACAGATCGCTTACAGACAAAAGGGATTAGAAGACAGATTCTCTTAAGAGAAACACAATTTATTCAACAATAAATGAAAAACCCTCTTAGAGTCAATTTAAAAGAAAGGCAGGGGGAGATTGCTGCTTTCATCCTGTAGCCATCACTTCACACCCTCAAGCTTGACAGTCCAGCCAGACTGAGGAGGTAGAGGAGATGGAAGCACGTAAGGCAAAGTTATGAGCAGCCCTTTACCTGGGGACCTCTGCCACTTCAGAGTCCCTGCAAAACCCAACATCGTCACCTGCAGAGGAGGGCGGGAGAAACACTCAGTTGTAGCTCACACAGGTACATCCCACCTGAACATCCCAGTACACCCCAAACACATTCGCAGTCTCTGTACAGCATTTCCCACACATTCAAAGCAGTCCTGCGCATTTCCACCCATCACTCACGGTGTACAAAAGGCAATACATGGGGTATTTTGCGGCCAAACATTTGACCGTAGTTTGTGGTTTGTGTTGGTTTTTTTTTTTTTTTACTGAGAAGGCTTTACCTCTGTTTGTTTAGAGCAAAGGGCACTCTAGCATTTGCGTCACAATTACATTTCGAATTAGCAGGTCAGTGTACCTGATCTGAATTTGAGATGCAATACCAGCAATCCCTTCTATGTGTGAGGCTTGTTATTTACTTCACCTTCCTGTGTCAAGAGGATCAAAAGACTCTGGGGGGTAAAGTGTCTCTGCCTATACTATGGCAGGCTACGAGCCTGTCCTGGCAAGTCCTATCCAATGTTCTGGGTTAACAGTGAGCTGAAGTCGAGAATAACCTGGGATGCCAGAAGGATCTGGAGGGAGGCCAGAGCATCCCAGAACAAAAAGTACGGGATGACAACTTCTACACTCTCCCCAGTTTCCAAAGGAATTCAGGCTGGGCCTTCCCAGTCCACAAGTGCCCATGATGGGCTCTCAGAGTGCATTATCTTTTTTTCAAGTTCCTTACTTGCGTGGCTGGGGATGGAGTGGGTGAGGACAGCTCCAAAACGTTGTCCTGAGGCCACGTCAGAAAGATGGCATAGACAACTGGTCCCTTAGAAGTGTACCTAAGAGAGCAAGAGTTCAGCAAGGAGAAGAGCCCCATAAAAGAGAGAACCCGACACGAGCTTGACCTTTCCAGACAGCACGAGAACACCGGCTTGCCTACTTTCACCACACAGGGGTCACCTACTTCCCCCTCATTCCAAAATCTGTCACTTTGGACCCACCATTTAGCCAGTCAGCACTGGCTGATGAAACCCAAACAAAGTCCATGCATGCTTCCTAAATCAAATGTCATTTGCTGAACTGTCCTTGCCTCAGCCTGTGGTCAACAGAGCGGATACGCTGCCTTATCCTGATCATTGCTCTGCGTTTCTAGACTGAACACACTTGGGCACACTTGAGGAAAAAAAAAGCCCTCTGTTTTGTAGCAATTTCTGGCTCTTGACTTGCTACGCCCTTCTCAGTCAGTATAAACCTAACAGTTGGGTAACAGTGATTAGTTCTATTATATAACAGCTTAAAAGCAAATCTCGCTACATTTACAAACTGTATGTGTTTAGATGAGCTACATTTGTGCAATGCAATCTAGCCAGGACCACTACTTAAATAGTCCTGACAGCAGATGCATGGACATTTTTTTAAAGGAAGAGTTGGGTTTTTTCCAACTCAAGCAAGATGGATGAAGTCCTGATTTTTATTCTCTTCTTTCAAGCAACATATTCCTTAGATAACACCCTGGGGCAGTAACTGAGCACTCCAGTTGTAGGATATTACCAAAACGCCACCTGCAGCTGATGGCAACGCTTCAGAGTTTACCAAATTTAAGAACAAATAAGAAAGAAATGTGAGCTCTGGAAGTCCCAGCTCAGATGGTACTGAGCAACGGGGTCCTTACCAGACCGTGTCTGTGCTGTTCTCCATCTGTACTCTCCATGGCTTTGATTCATAAATTGCCTCCCCATTAGTGTCCAGCCACCTCCCAAGGGCCAGAAGTCTTTCTTGGAAGATGGGAACAATCACCCCTTCTTTTGTAGGTCCCACATTGAGAAGGTAGTTGCCTCCAAAACTCACAGTCTGCACTAGCTCCTGTGACAGATAAACCAAGGTAACAAATTGCATTATCTTCACTTCTAACAACAAAGTAACCTGAGGAGGGCTCTGTCCTCATCAACTGCTCCTTTAACTCCAGCCCAGTTGTATGAAACACATGACAACTCTTTCTGCAAGTAGGAGGATGAAGGAAACCTCTAATTCTCAGTAACTTCCCCATATCTGTTATTTTGATTTCACATTTCTTACCTCAATGATACTTGCTTCATCCATTAACTCAGCAATGTTCATGTTGCTTCGATAGCCCCAGGAAAGCTTGTCAATGGAGGAGCACATCTCCCACTTGTGAACTGGCAGGGTCCCTGGCTTGTATTTGTCAGCACAGTTGTAGTAGCCTCCATGATGGCAAGAGCAGTTATTACACCAACGATCATTAACAACAACAGTGTCCTGAAAGAAGAAACTCAGCTCAGTAGGGAGAATGTTTTGCCTTGGACTTTTCAGCTTGCATTCATGCCTCCTAAGTTTGCAAAGGGCATCTAAGTTAGGAGGTAAGCACCTAAAACCCCCTGTGTAATCAATGGAAAGAGACAGAGGATCCTCCAGAGAAGACTAAATCCCTCTCTGGAAGAATCTCTCTCTACTCACTCAGGTAGAAGTTGGGGCAACAAAGTTCCTGGCATTTGAGCCTCCCATGTGTGTGCTGTAAAGGACATCAGAGCCTTCTCACTGGAGCACAGTGTAGTCTTCTTATTTTTTGTGAAAGAATAAAGCACATCTGGCATCTGTCAAGCGGGTTTCTGATTTGATCACCTTCATGTCTCACTGCTGCCAGACCTTCCATACCCATAATATGCTAGTGGCCACGAGGGATAGCTGAAAGCGATACCTTGACAGGACTATCGTTATAAAGCCAGGCAAGGAAAGAGGTAGAATTCCAGTACGACTCCGGAGCTTCCCAGTCTCCATCCGACCAAATCAAATCTGGTTTATATCTAACAGAGAGATGAATGTTATTTCAAAATGGCTTATTTTCTCCTACCATAAAGGAAGCACTGTGTTTCTTATGCCTGGAGCCTAGCTTCACTTCCTCTTCCTATTGCCTGCCATTATCAGGTTTATGCTATCACTTTCTGCTTCAGACAAAGCTTTAAGTGAGGTTCTTGCAGCAGCAAAGAATGATGTGTTGATCACGGCTCAAGAGATGATGCAATTCTTCCAAAAAACAGGAGTCTGCATCTCAAAGGCAATTATGAGGCATATTCTTGACTTGGGACAACGGCCATTCTGAGCAACATGTGTCCAAGCCTCTTACTTTTGTCAACAAGGGGATGCAAGGCAAGGATGTAAATTCACAGTGAAATCGCTCTTCTACTCTACTAAATACTGAGCAGCTTGCTCCACTTTCAAAGCCACCCTGCACAAAGGCAGTATTAAAGGGAATTGCTCTTGAATGAAAAATTTGTCCCTACTTTATTCTACAAATCAGACTATACATAGGGCAAATGTGAACCCCCTTTCTAATGACCGCAAATCATTACTGATAAGTAAACAGATTTGCCTTGGCAAAAATTAACTTTTGTCACCTCTCTTCTCTGCATCCATCTCTCTCTACAGTATTGAAACCAGGAAATGCTCTTGATTTCTAACTAGTTGCAGCTCTTACTTTAAGACAAGATCATAAAGTTCTGGCATGGTCTTCTTTAAAACGAAGTTCTGTGTCTTGAAGCCACTTTCTTTGTCAGCTAGATAGAGTGGATTAAACCACTCTAACAGAGAGTGATACAGGCCATAGCGTATGTTGCTGAAGGACAGAAAACACAAAGGAAAAAGTTAGGCTGGCAGTAAGGATTAAGAACCAGCGGCAGATTAGATTACTGGCATTATTAGCTCACAGATTTCACAATTTTGCAAGCACTACATTTTTTCACATTAAACTCATCATTTTCTGCTGTTTGTCAAGAGCAGCCAGGGGAATTCAGTGCACACAGATGAAAGGAACAGCACAGTTTGGCAGTGCCATACCTCTCCCTGAGGGCTTGTCCCAGCTCTCCTACAAGATCTCGGTGGGGCCCTGTATCCAGAGAATTCCAGTTCCAGGACACGGGCGACCCCCAGTTGGTGAAGCCTTCATGATGCTTCGTGGTCAGTACCACGTACCTGAGGGGAAAAAAAGTTCTCGATCAGGATGACAAAGGAATTTCCTAAGATATCGCCCAGCCTCACTGCCAAATCCAGTCACTAAAAAAACAAGGGACTGAATAACCATGCTGTGAGGAGCCCTCTTTCATTACCCTTTAGATTTAGAAGCAACTACGATAATAACAGAGGTTTTTAATGGATTTTAATGCTGGAAAAGAAGGAACGATCGAGACTTAGGAAGTAGCAAGACCCCTCATCTCCTCAGCAGCCTGGGAATGATCCCTCAGGGATCTCCGGCACTGCTCAGGGACCCCCAGTCCCTCAGGGATCCCCAGACTTGGCCCTTCCATCCCCTCAGGGATGACAGCATCCTCTTGGGAATCCCAGGCAGAGCCCCCCCCATCCTCTCCTGGCTTTTCCATCCCCTCAGGGACCCCAAGACATGGCTCCTCCATCCGCTCAGTCACCAGAGATCCCCATCCCCTCACAGATCCCCAGAAATGGCTCCCTCATACCCTCAGGGACCCCCGGGCATGGCACTCATCCCCTCAGGGACCCTCCATCCCCTCAGGGACCCCCAGACTCACCCCCCATCCCCTCAGGG